GTGTAGCAAGGGTTATCTTTTGTCCAATTCCCAATAAGTTCCTTATTTCTATCTGAGACCTCATCATCCGCATGGCCTTTACTGTCCACATTTCTATCAGCATTCTGCTCGCCATCACATAAATCTCTAAGACATTCCAAATTTTCCCTCATCTTTTTCTTTCTTCTAAGTCCTCCAAACTCCTCCAACCTTTGCCCATTACCCAGTTCCAAAGATGCATCCACATTTTCAAGTATCTGTATAGCAACACCCCACTTCTCTGGTACCAATTTTCTGTTTTAGTCTGTTTTGTGTTGCTATAACAGAATTACCTGAGACTTGGTAATTTATAAAGAAGACAGGTTTATAGGGCCGGCCCGGTGGCGCACTGCTACAGTGCGCTGCTTGCCGCGCTCCCGCCGAGGGTTCAGATCCCACATACAGACCGGTTCCCGCTCACTGGCTGAGCGAGGTGCGGGTGCGACACCGAGGGTTGCGATCCCGTTGCCGGTTGCGGTGCAGGTGCGACACCAAGGGTTGCAATCTCATTGCCGGTCACGAAAAAAGACAAAAAGGAAAAAAAAAAAAAAGGAATACCCGCCAAGGGCTGACTGGCCACACGGCTCACCACGCTGTGTGGGCGGGACACGTAGCCTTCCCAAAGTGACCGGGACCACGCTCACCTGACCAACCATCCTGACCACTGAGTCCAACACTGCCCCTGGGGACCAGTGGAGCGGGTCCCATATGGGTGCCACCGCCTCTGGCCCACAGTTGGCTCACAACTGTTAATCGGAAAATCTTTAAGTGCTGAGAGCCTAAATTTGCTCAGTTTAATTTTGTTGTCAGAAGTTTTGCTTCGACATGAAATCCCCGAGTCGCTGTCTTTTCCTGTGCCCCGAGGGAGTGTGTACACAGGTCCGGGAGTTCATGCACCTTATTAAAGCCGGCGAATAAGATGACAGAGGCCGCGTGCAGCCAGCCTGCAGGGAAATCAGGCTGACGGTCTGCTGGGAAATCTGTCCACCTTCCATCTTTCCTCTTCATTGTGTTGTAGGGGCCACAACCTCATGATCCTCATGCTGATTAGGACCCTGGAGGCTTGGGGGAAAGGTGGGGTTTTACTTCCCCTGAAACAATGGTCAAATGAGTCTACAGTGACCAAGTCATAGGACCAAGACTGGACAGGCTTTTATTTCCTCCCGTGCCCTCAAGTCACCTGACCACATGGTCGGGAGGCAGGCAGGAGGCAGAGGCCACGACAGGCCATCTAATGCTAATGCTGAGAACAGGCGCCGCGGAGCTGGGGAGGCCTGAGTTTGGAGCCCAGCTCCGCCCTCCCGTCTCATTGACCTCACACGCTTTTCCTTCACATGTCAGCAGTGAGCGTGGTAAGAGAGGATTGTGTTAGAATTTAGTTGGCAGTGTTGGTACTTTCTTCATAGCGCAGAATATAATCTACGAGATTTAATGAAATACGGTATGCTATTGGATCACAATGCTCAGCCTCTCTGTGCCTCAGTCTCCCCGTTGTACAAAAGGGGTTAATCGTGCCTAGCTCTTCCCGTTGTTGTAGGGATTAAATGAGATGGCTGTTATCTGTTGACTTGCTGCACAACAAGTTATCACAGATTTAGTGGCTTAAAACAACACACATGTGATCTCACGTGGGGTCAGGCATGGGGCAGGGTTGAACAGATTGCACAGGTCTCCCAGGCTGAGACCAAGGTGCTGGTGAGGTTTGGGCCCTCTGCCAAGCTCATCCAGGTTGCTGGCAGAACCCCGGGTGCCAGCGTGGCCCACTGCACATCAAGTGCAGAAATAGCGTGCACAGCCTTTGCTTTCTGGGGATGCCTCGTGTGCGGCGCCTTCTGCGTGAGGGTCAACCCTAAACACTCCTCTTCCCCCACCCTGTCTCCCGTGTTGCTGTGTGTGATACCATCCAGGCCAACTGGAGGCGTGGGTGGGTAATTTTTGGTGAAGACTTAGTGATCGTGAGCTCACCCACTACCCCCCCACTGAAGCCCAGGAATCAGCATTTTAAGCCACTCTGTAGGGGACTCCTGCCCACAAAAGTCTGCACAAATCCAGCGGTCTAGAATGAAAACAGTGTGGGAAGACTTCCTGATGTCACCACGCTGAGGGAAACTTCTCAGGGCCCCCATCTGCACTCCATGTGTCTGGAATTTGGTGTTATTTGCAATTTGGAATTTGAAATTAAATTACATTTGCTTTGCAAACATGCAAAGGATGTCAATTCCTTAAGCCCCACCTTGAGCACCAGGCAGGGCCTCTGTTTCCCTGAAGACCTTTGTGTGGGGACATGGAATCTGCTCCATTCTTGTCATGACTTCAGAATCTCAGCCTCCAAACATCAAAAGAATTTAATTATGTCTTCGTTGTCTTTGGTCTCTCAATTTTTTCCATTGGACAAAACACGTCCATTGGCTTCCACCTTTTCCCTCCGAATAAGTCAAACCTGCTCTTACTCCAAAGGGCCGAAGGTCACCAGGAATGAGCAGCTCCCCTCCCAGTACCTGGCCGACGTGGACACTTCTGATGAGGAAAGCGTCCAG